TTTGCAGTTCTAGAAGTGGTATAGCATAGGTCAAAGTTTACATTTCGAGTTAAAAACAAAAAAGAGAATCATCTTGCTCTGGAGTGAAAGAAAAGGACTCTCAAACTCCACACTAACTAGCCAGTCTCTCTTCCAAGTGCAGAGAAAACTTAATGCTAAAAAACAACTTAAATACTCTAAAAAAAAAAAAAGACACAGTTCTGTCCTTCAGATCAGCCATACGAGTCAAATTGGGTAAACTTTGAGTAGAAGCCTAACTTCGAACGTAATTGATATGCTTAATATATAAGCTTTCTGAATAGACGCCGAAGCTAGTATGCTGTTGATATTGAAGTATAATTGATATGCCTAATATATAAGCTTTCTGAATAGACACCGAAGCTAGTATGCTGTTGATATTGAAGTGCAGAGAGATCAGGATGGAGAAAACTCCTCTTCTTACGCCAGAAACTCCTTTGCACAAAGGTTTCAGAACTTATTTGTAGTTCTCCATCACAGCACCCAAATATTTCTCCTAGCACTTTATTTTCAGACTACTTTCAGACCTCATTTGTAGTTCTCCATCACAGCACCCAAGTATTTCTCCTAGCACTTTATTTTCAGACTAAATCCTCCTTGTTTATCATCTCCCTTGCCACTCCAATCCCTTCCCACCAAAACCACAGATCCATTTCAAGTGTCACCCTTCTCCCAGGGCTCCGGCTGACATAGACAGCTATAGTTCGGATGGCCAAAGTCACTTCTCCAGCTGGGCTTCAAACAACGCCCCCAACAGCAAACTGACACCACAAACCTCTGAGCCACAAACAAAACTGCTCCTAAACCTCTACAGCTTACTGCACAGCAGTTTAAGAATTGGAAGTCAGTGATTTCCTTCGTTCAGATACTATATTGGACCATGACGAGTTTGGAAGCTGGTTCATGAGAAACCCCAAACCTCATGAAGCAGTGACAAGGAGAATTCCTGGAGCAGTAATCTTGCCTATCACAGCTTGTCACAAAGCATTAAGGCAACAGTGGTCTTGAGAACTTAGTAGCATTCAAGACTGATGCAGACCCTTAACATCCTTCTTTCCAGTGTGTGTCTCCATTCCATTGTCTGATTCAAAGATTTTTTTTTTCCCCTGCCCCCATGAAATCATATTTTGCTGACATGATTAAAGCAGAAACCAAAACCTAGGGCTAGTATCTAGAAGCCTTCGCAGTTGCATTTTACATGCAGGACTTGTAAAAATAAAGCTGTTTCCTCACTCAGACTACAGACCTTGGTGACCCAAAACTTCTGACAACTTGACTTTCTTAAAGCAATGCCCCCAGAAAGATATCTGGAACTCAGTTTGTTGTGGCATAAGGATATTCAAGAACCCCCACAAAACCAGTCTGAGCAAAATCATGTTTATTCGAAATCTTCAAAGGACCTCCAAAGCCTTTGGGTATTCCTCGTGGGTAGCCCTGCAATAAACTGCCTCCAGTTTCTGATCTACAGCTATGAAGGATATTATGAAGCTAGCATTAAAGCTGGTCAGTCTAAAGCAGGGCAGGCAGAATAGCAAAGTTTTATATGAAGCCGAAGAATTGACAGCTAACAAGCATTTAAGGTAACCAAAAGCCATGAGAAGCTGCCCCTACAGCATGAGAGACCAATTCAGAGTATTAGTGACTCAAATGACACATCCCTGTCATAAGAAATGTTGATATCCTTAGAAAAGCACCAACATTTGGGAAAAATTCAGCTATGAAAGACAAAGAAGAGTGAAAACTCCTATCAAAGGCAGAAGTGATGAGAAAAAAACAGCTGTAGATGGCTGCACCATCACAGGACCAACACTTGCACTTGATGAAAACCAAGCCTCAAATGTGAGCAGAGATCATCTCAGGGACTCTGAGGTTCTGCAGGATCATGCTTAGTCATTGACGGGTTAAGGAATAAAGTGCAAGAAGTCGTAATGATACATCTGCCCCATCCTCAGGGGTGAAAAATATATATTTATTAAAAATATATGCAAAAGAATTTGCAAAGCTAGTACAGCTTCCCTAGGAAATAATTTTCTTAACACACTCTTCAGTTACACTCTCTTTTGAGTGTAAGAGATGGAAATGGAATAGGTGATGTTAAAAGTGGAGCAAGAAATTAAGTTATTTCATCTCCAAAGCAAAACTGGGATCACTATAATTTACACTCCAACCATTCTTCCCAGCTGTTCTTGCACAAGTCTTCCTTTCATCTTCTGCCCTGTCATGAACAGAACACAAATAAAGAGAGGACCAAGCATTGACATCATGTTTTTACAAGCCACTGGTCTTCCAGATTCTCCATTTGTGTTCATCTCCCACAGCACAGTAATAATGCAACTCAGGGGCCAAGCTCATGCCGCTTGGCAGATATTAGAGATGCTAGAAGTTCCAGAAACTCCTCACCATCCCTACATAGATGTTACTTGAAACTCTTCTTTATGAAATGAGCACCACTGCCCAGGTCATGCCGACTGGCACTGGCTGCCTTTAGTCAGCCCTCCCTGTTCCTCCAGCAGTGTCATCCTGAAGAGGCAGATTATAGACCGATGACTAGACCCACTGGCCAAATCCCTCAGCTTCTTTGTTTCCTTTCTAGGGATTGAAAGGAAACATGTACTACTTCAGTTGACAATTTTTCATCTTGTACTTCCTAGAAAGGCAACCCTGCATGCTGCTGATTGTGAATTAAAGGAAACCAAAACAGATTCACCGCCTCTCAACCACTTGAGACCAACACCAAAATATAAGATTTCAGTTTGGTTATTATGAGAGAACTATCTGGAAAACAAAACGTACCTTTTACTGACTCTTGTCACGGCCAAACCACCATAATTCACTTCATGAGCTCAGTTAACATTGGCTCTTGCCTGTACACCAGGCGGACATCAGCAGGCTACGCAGGCAATGGAATTGCTCCAGGCTGTGCAGTCAGCAGCAGCACTGACAGTGCCGCATTCAAGAAGTTCAGGGATCCCTAACAGAGATCCCTACTGGAACTGCACCCAAAACCCCACCAGCTCAAGGTCTTGATGAAGCTTCTCTCTGTGGCCTTTGATCTTCGCCAGCATTCAGCCTCTAACAGTACTCACAACTGCTCCCCTCCCCTTCAAAAAATAAGCTGAGTTTTAATTTCAAACAATAAACGATCACTACAGCTGCATAGAAACACTATTCTTGGTAACAGTAGCCTCCTCCAGCAACATTCCTGTAACTCAGGCCACCAGTTAAGGCCAACAAATCCATTAGCTTCTTGATCCCAACCAGCTTCTTCCAGCTCAGGGGTGGGGAGGTCATTACTAACATACTGGTGCAGCAATCCTCCTGGGTGACTGCAGCATCGCAATGCCAAGGAATCAAGTTCCAGAGTCTGCCTCAACAGTTTAGGAATGAAAGCAGAAGGCACCTTTTGGGGAAGTGGGGGAAGGTGGGGAAAGGTAAGTCACCCATAGGATATCACTTAAACTCCATGTATACAATCAGCCAGCCTTTCACAAAGGAGAGTTCGTTAATTTGTCAGTCATCCAAAGTAACAGTACTTCATCATCTGTGTGTACAGAAGAGTGACAGGTTCCCAGCACCATCCTCTGGAAGCATTTGTGGCTCTCTTTACTGTGGGGAGTCCTTGGACTAGAGCTTGCTTTGACATTTAAGGCCTTCAGCTTTTAACCTTCATCATAAAATAGGGTTATAATAGCTGTAATGAATTTCATAACAACTAGCATTATGATTGATACATATACTGAAACCCTTTGACCTATCAACTTCTTTAATTTTCAACCCAGTCCTTATTAATTATCCAAATAGTTTACTTAGAAGCCTGCAGAAAACATTCCAGAAGTATTTTTCACCGAGTTCTGCTGTAAGGGTCTTGATGTAAGGCCTTGGAAGGGTAAAAACCAAAAACCCACATAGGAAACTGACAAAGAAGCACAAATACAAAGAATATTTTGAAGTTGCATCAAATTTTTAATAAGTCCAAATATTACCAAGGGCCAAGCAAAAAAGTTACCCCATTCATACTGAGATGGAAGGGAAGGTGAGCCAACTAACTAGCAAAACTAAATAAAATTGATTTAAGCTTTAGAACAAGTGTTTATTAAAAGGAGCCAAGCATTTAAGCAGATGTTCCCATTTCTTTTAAGACAGAAAGTCTACTTGTAGCTCTTAATGATACTCTGACTCAACAAATCACTATGCAGTCAGTTTGCCAAGAGACAAGGAGCTACTCTTAACTGTCCAGCACAGACACCCATTTGACATTGTTCAAGGAAGGAACAGGGTCAAAAGCAGCATCAATGGCGTTGTGATTCCTAACTCTACAGAAAGATGGTGATAAGCCAGATGTTCCACTCAGTGCTTCAAAACCACTGAAAAAAGAAAGCTTTATCTTATTGGTTTATTTTAAGCACTTGAACGCATTCTTTCCTGGCCCACTACGTTGATATTAGATTCCAAAAAGACATTTTGCATTCCTAGCACTTTCCAACTTCAGCTTTTAAATAATAGCATAGGCTCTTATTATCATTTTTAATACACAAGTTAAGACAAGATATATGCTTATTCATATGAGCAATTAAGCAACAGTAATTCAGCAAAGTTAGGTTTTGTAATCTCTCGTCAGCTCAAACAAGCCATTTGATACTATTCACTGTATCAGTTAAGCATGTCTGAGGCAAGTGCTCTAACGAGTGGCATGAGCTAAGCACCCAGAGTTGCCATTTAACATTCTATTTTTGAAAGATGCTCGCAGAATTATTTCCACAGAGGAATTTTTTATTATTTGTTTTATGACAACAGAGTTCTTGACCTGTACACAGCATGGAAAAAAGACCCTAGACTAATCTAAATGCTAAAGACACAAGGTATTTAGGCTATCAAAGTCAGAGACAAGACCTACTTCCTCTGTTTCAAATGGGTAAAGGAATGAGAATCAGGTAAGTTCAGCTGAATCAGTACCCGTAATGAATCTAATAATTAGTACTTACATAGATGAGCCCAGAGTAATACCGATCCTTTAAATTATGTAATACAGAGGCTTCATTTAAACAGGTTAATTCTGCCATGTCTTCCACTTTAGAGAACTTGGGGGGATTCATCTTCTGAATATCATCTTTATTGACTAGTGCTTTCTTTCCATTCTCTGCCAGTTCAACCAACACTTCATCCCCTTTTTCCTCCTTGATGCTGGCTGCCTCAAAACCATGGCGCTCTGAAGGAATCCACACCAACTTTTTAGCAGTCCAATCAGCCTGGGTGGCAGGGTTGTAGATGACAGCCCTATCCACGAAGAGGTATCTCTCCGGATCTTCCTGTCCAGATCTCTGTGCCATTGTAGGAAGTGAAGGTGTCCACTATCAGTTACCCTGTAAATCGGAGAGGAAAAAAAAGCAAAGAGTATGTTCCATACCATATTCTTATCAATTAAATTAATTGAGCTATGGTACATCAATTAGATGATCTATCGCTAATATCTGTATCTTCCCTTGATGATTAATTTATTCTGTAGTGTAAAGAAGTTGATACACAACTGAGAACCCCTGTTCACACTATGGCCCTCTGAATAAACAACTGCGGTACAAAACTTAAAATGATCTGTTAAGTATAATCCCAGACCCAGCGCAGGGAACTTGGTATAAACCGGTTCTAATTGTGTACTGACTAGGGAGAGAGAGTGCAACAAATGTGAGAACCACAAGCAGGAAAAACACACATCTGTCTTCTGTGCTTAAATAAGGAAGAAAAACAAATTTAACAAAAGCTTGACAGTAAACTCAACTTCAATTGAGCAGTAAAAAAAAAAATACAAACAGATATAAAAATATAAAAAACAGTCAGTGGATAGCTAACTACAGTACCCAGAGGGCAGCAAGAATACGTTTCAAAATGTGGATTTTCAACGACAGGCAAGAACTTGAGGCACTTGGGGTTTCTGCAAGCCGTTAAGCTAGCTATACCTTGCTCATACTCCTCCTGAAAAACGTAAGACTTTGCATTTCTACAGCCTGCTTCTGTTCTCAGTCATGAGCACTGACATTACCATATTCCAAAAAAATGTCTCCAGATCTCAAGTTTACCTTGAGGCTCAAAACGCACCAAGAACTGATGTTAGATTTTCCAACAGCTTCACGGGTAATTTGAAGGGGAAAGAAAAACTGCTGACAAGAGCTCCTGCAGACTCATTTTACCCATTTGCTTCTATCGAAGAAAGGCCACTGTATCTTTAGCTAATAGTACTGTCACATCCAGGATTCCTGGAGCCAGCAGTTTTATCTGCAACTGCCTGAGGAGCAACAAGGTCAAGCCTGACACCTAGTACTCAGGTCATTAAATATCTTGGTTTTTCACACACTAGATCTGTTCTGCTGAAGAATGTGCCATTAGCTAATGGTAGCCTCTTCCTGCAGGCAACCAAAAGGTTAGCGTCAAAAGCAAGGAAGGTTTCGTAAACTGCGTTTGTCATCTTTCATACTATGGTATGCACTCTGATGGAAGAGTTCTGCAACACACCCATCCTCAGAAGAACATGTAATTAAATACAATAGCTGTGGCTCCATCCACAGCAGGGACATTTGGTACGTTGTCCAACTTTAATGTAAAGTAAGCACAAAGTCATTGAAACCTTCAGAGGTTTGAGGAGCAGACCGTTTACTGCAGCCGACTTAATTCAAATCGAGAGGTGATGACTCAACATTTAAAGTATTTTAGAAGAGCCTCGGAGAGAAAAATGCAATGAAGAAAGAGGGAGTTGTTGAGGGGACACCTTAAGTGATAGCTGGACTCCTCAGCCAGAAAAATGAATAAATTAGTCAAGGAATGCTATGGTTAGCCTAAGAAGCCCACAAATTTAATATCCAAGCCTTCAACCCCAGTTCAGATAGCTGTTCATCTCCATTGTGCTAGAACACAGCTGAAGTTCCACCAAAGACCTGAAGCACCATTGCCACCCTCGTGTGCAAGCACATCCCGGCATCAAGTCTGTGCAAGCTCCCCAGGCAGGTATGACAGCCAGCCAAACCCATTTATGATCAGCTCGGGCTCAGTTTTACACGCTGAGATGCAGGGAAACCTAGAGGTCTGATAAAACTCATATGATAAAATTAATTGATATTGTTCCCCAGCGCAATTAAAGCCTAAAGACTAAAATGAATGCATGGACTGACTTTGTATCGGTTCCTGAGGGATATATCTAACATCGGGGGATCACAGACAGCTCCAGGGTCATTTTTGCACGTTGGCTTTTAATTCCACAGAGCCCATCACAAAAGACCCTCTGCAGAAGCAAAGCAAGTTGCAGCTTACCCTACCCAGGGCTCCTCTGTTAACAATGGCATTCAAATGAAACACACAAATGAGCACATTTATCATGCAGGAATCCAGCACTCCCAAAAGACGACTAACGCGGAGGAAAAAAAAAAAAAAAAAGAATCCCTACACATGTTCTGCTCCTCTAAACAAAAGGGGGGTGGTTGGAGCAGCGGCGGCGATGGGGAGCGGCATCCCCCGGTGCAGCCCGGGCGTTTTCAAGGACAGGGGCAGCCCGA